CTGCACGCAGAACAGGGAATATAGGACTACACAAACTTCTTTTTTTTTTTTAACAATTTTGTTTTATTTCTCCAGATGTGTAATACAAACCATGACATACAATTGAATACAATAAACGTGTTCAATATTGATGCTTTTACATAAACATAATTAAACACAAACTTATTTGCAGTATAATATAACTTAGCAACAAAGTAAACGTATAAGTACCTAAACATAATATGTCAATTGTAAATGTTATTTACTTATATATTACAACAACAAAAAATCTGGAGGTAATTTTACTGAAACAATCCTGCCCCCTCCCTGCCCCCTCCATCACACAAACATACTCACCCTCTATCACACAAACATACTCACCCACCCACACACATACTCACAAACTTTTTTTTATTTTTTTTTAAACAATTTTGTTTTATTTCTCCAGATGTGTAATACAAACCATGACATACAATTGAATAAAATAAACGTGTTCAATATTGATGCTTTGACATAAACATAATTAAACACAAACTTATTTGCAGTATAATATAACTTAGCAACAAAGTAAACGTATAAGTACCTAAACATAATATGTCAATTGTAAATGTTATTTACTTATATATTACAAAAAAAAACAAATCTGGAGGTAATTTTACTGAAACAATCCTGCCCCCTCCCTGCCCCCTCCATCACACAAACATACTCACCCTCTATCACACAAACATACTCACCCACCCATACACATACTCACAAACTTTTTTTCATTTTTTTTTAACAATTTTGTTTTATTTCTCCAGATGTGTAATACAAACCATGACATACAATTGAATAAAATAAACGTGTTCAATATTGATGCTTTGACATGAACATAATTAAACACAAACTTATTTGCAGTATAATATAACTTAGCAACAAAGTAAACGTATAAGTACCTAAACATAATATGTCAATTGTAAATGTTATTTACTTATATATTACCAAAAAAAAAACTTAAACAAATCTGGAGGTAATTTTACTGAAACAATCCTGCCCCTTTCCTGCCCCCTCCATCACACAAACATACTCACCCTCTATCACACAAACATACTCACCCACCCACACACATACTCACCCACCCACCCACCCACCCCCCCCCCCCCACACACACACAGTACTCACTCAGTGGATGTCTGCCAACATTCTCAACTCAAGAAAAATATACTAAATAAGTTATCCAGGCCGCAAAATCGAGTTACGCTTTTAACAGGCTCACGGTGGAGAAGAAAGCAAATCTTAATTAATCTTAAGCTGCTCCCACTTTAAGAAATGTGATCCTAGCTTTCCCATTTTAATTGCTATTTTCTTTTCCTCATCCCTATACTTAAAAATGCTTTTTTTCATCTTTTCTAAAGTTAGTACTCGCCCCCCCCCCCCGATCTTGACATAAATATTACATACTTCACCATGAAAATGATGGTATTACACATTTTTATTCTATATGAACTACCTACCAACCCAACAAATATATCTCGCCATTCTAAATCTTTAATTTCATCTAACTCAAAAAGTTGTATTAAAGCCTGCCATATCCTTTGAACGTTCCCACAAGATAAAAATAAATGTTTCTATTTCCTGCTTACAAAACGAACATAAATTATCACCAACAAAACCAAATCTAATAGATTGAAGATGCTCATTAGTGTATATGGCTCCATGCAATAATTTAAATTGAAATTCACGTTGTTTTCTAATGAGTATAGTAATTCTTGGTCTAACAAATATTTCTTTTAATTCTTTATCTATAAAATCATAATCATTTTGCCCATCCCTTACCTGCAAATCATACGTTTGTTGCAGTGCTTTGATAAAATAATCATAGATTGTTCTTGAACCCACATCCACAAACTGTATTTTTTTACTAGAAATATGGAAATAAGTATTAAAGCTTATCAAATCAACCTCGAGGAATTCTATTAACCCTGAATCATCCTTCCATAACCTGGGTATCGCATCATAAATATCAATAATCATAAGCAAATTATTACCTTTCATACCGAGGTTCATAAAATATTTAACAGACTTAACATGACCTTTCTCAACCAAATGATTCAGTTGAACAATCCCTCTTTCAAACAAGTATCTATCAAATATACTTTTTCCATTTATACATATATTCTGATTATTAAAAATAATTGGATTAATATAACCCTCCAAATATCTTAAATTACTTGTCACAAACACGTCATCGCACACACGCGCGCACACACACACACCCACCCACTCGCACACACACCCACTCGCGCACATATTCTTGCTTTCAACACTTGTAAACCTCACAGGTGTTTGCTTCGTGGTAGTAATATTAAAGTCTGCAAGGACCGACGCCCACACAACATTTAGTACTCGACATTCTATCAAATCTTAATCAGAATGGCAGATTTTAAGAAGAACCATCGAAAGTACAGCATCTACGAGCGGATCCAGGATATTGTCAGACGGGAGGTGCAAAATAATTGGAAAAAGAAAGTCCACTAAAAGTTCCCAGAAAATTTTATGTTCACTTGTCCCTCTAGCGTCCACATCAGTTGTGGGCGCGGAGGGGGTGGGGGAGGGGGAAGGGGTTGAAGGGAATACCCGTGTACAATTTAAAGGAATTTTCCTTCCCATATTGTCTATTCTTACTTATTTAAAACGCGCTCCTGGATCCACTTTTGCATTCATCAGTTGGCAAATACTTATCTATTGTGATGTCAGATGCATATGTGTCCAACGTTACAACATCCCCCAATAAAAATATTTATATATGATATAACAATAATAAATGAATAAATCAATTTAAAGAAAAGAGAAGAAGTATGAATTCAATTGGGGCTTATCGTGCAAAGGATAGAGTCGGCCGACGCCCACCACCACCCAAAAAACTTAGAAATTTAGACTACAACTTGCAGCTCAACTCAAGCTTATAGCCAGACCAGTTACAAATATCCAGTGCTTGTTTTTTTTTCTGATATGATGAAATGTATCAACATGTATGTACAGTACCATCACCAGCTAATTTACCTCGTTCTCTGAGTCTTCTGTACTTATAATAAATATTCAATTGGCAACATGACGTTCTACATTATACAAGCAGATATGCATTTTAAGTTATATTTTAACCCTCCAACATGGTCCTTTATCATATTTTTATAATATCATACATAAACGATTTAGTATACAAAAACACACATACAGGCAGGATTCTATAATTTTGTACCTTGGTCATGATTGAACATATACAAAAGAAATAGGTACTATATTACTATAAAAATGTTATAAATTTGTTTGAAACAAAAGAGAATATTAATAGCTGTTTCTTTTAAAGCGCTTTTCCAGATACAACCGATAGACTGTCATTACTCCGGTCACTGTACTGGACAGTTACTATTCCGCATAGTACAGTGCACATTCCCCACTCCCTGGGGAGCATTATATTTATTCGACTTTTGCGTCCGCGCACATACTCGTCCAATCACACTGACTCTCGCACCCTATCAGGTACCCAATAAGCATCTGAGTGGAGAGGAGTAATATAGATAAAATGCCTTGCTCAATGACATATGTACCAAGCCGAGGCTCGAACCCATGACCTTTGCATTTCCAGTCAAGTGAATAAACCACTCGACCAAGCCACCTCTAATCACCTTTTCATGTTTTTTTAAAAAAATTTTTTAGATTTGTTTGAGCTACACATTTAAAATCATCCAGGCCGGCATATAATAACAAAATTATCACTGACATGATATTTTCAAACTTGGTAAATAGCTTAAGGTATTAACTGATTTGTTTTCTTTTCTTATTACTACCGTAATACAATAGAAGCCAGTAACGTTTCTAATAAGGTTCGCAAGTTTCAACTTTATATCATCGCGGGATAGCCACAGCTCAAATTTGACCAGGTCAATTGAACAAAAGCGCAAACAAAATAGTCTCTTCACTTTTGTTACAAAATGTATAGGATTATTAGCTACATGATGTAGCAAAATTGTAGTCATGGTTCCCTTAGCGATGGAATATATACATTGCTGTGTAATAATGATTCAGTTACTTTCATTGATACTATCACGTCAGTTAAAGAAATAACTTTTGTTTTGACAAATTGTTTTCAGTTAGTCGTGACATGACATCTAATCTTGTAAATAGTACATGTATATTCAAATCTATTACAAATATACAACTTTTAAAAAGTAAATAATGAACTTTTTAACTCGAATATTTGTCATAACGCTTGAGGACTTGTGCAATAATGGAGAGTAGTGCCTAACCATTGATTGGAAAGTTTCGTCACTCAAATATCGTACTATTGGAGGTGGGTTTAATTATTTTGCAACTTCGCCATAACTCCAGGATCAAAGTGCATACATGATCTTGGGGTCAGAAAAAAAATCTGAAGGTGGTGGTGAAGAAAGAAAGAGGGGTCTTGGTCGCAAATTTATCTGAAATAACATCACCACACCTTAAGTTTTAAAATGAAATGTGCCATCTGCTTGTGCACTGGCACTAATGATATACCCAAAGTGATAACGTTAAAAACCTATTCTTTTTCCTTAAAGGTATTAGAAACGCCCCAATTTCAAAAAATGGAATGGAAGCTCGTATTACCAATCATGTAAAAGAATATGTTTTGACTAATACATGATGATAAAAAATTTGCCGGGAAACCGCCTACTAATTGATATATTTGTAAATTAGTTTATCTATTGGTATGTGAGAGATAAACGCATGTGTCGTGCACGCTTGCGTAGTCACATAAACATCTTTCTGTGTACAGTGCTTGTAACTTTACGAAGACTGGGCCAAATTTCTTATCATTTTGATGCCCCAGAACCTTGCAGTACACACCAATACTTATATGCTAAAAGATCAACATTTTCTGATCGATTCCACAACGTTTCTTTCACAATGCAATCGCATGATCATAACTTATCTTTATCTTTAACTTTTTGGCCCCTCCCCCTGCATGAATCCTGGACTGTCTCTCCTGCAAGGGCACTTTCTGATCAATTAAGAAGATCATAGACTCCAGGTATTTCCTTATAAACAAGAAGGGCATTTCCATTTAGGATGATGACAGTACCGGGAACAGGAACGACGCATCTTGGATGATAGCGATAGAGATACGACGTTGGAAACTCGATGACCTTTTCTCTCCGCATATCACCGTTAGGGGAGAGGAGACTTACAAAGCCAATGTAATCTTGGTTCAATCCCGTACGATATGTAACGTAGATCATGTCATCTGCACCGACATGAAAATTAAGTCGTCTGCTCCAGTCCGCGAGTGGAAACTTCATCTTGACTTCTCCAGTCGCTCGAAAGATTCTGCAAATATCCGAGTTTCCAGAGCGAATGATGATATCCCCATTTGCAAGTGTCCCGATACCCATCATTGGTTTGCATTCTATATCATTGATCGTGCGAAGATGTGACCCTGTCTCAGGGTCGCTCACATGTATCTCGCCACTGTTGTGGCTAGCAGCGAGAAGTTTCCCCTTCCTGTCTACAGTTAGATAGGCAAACCGCGATTCATCGTTAGGTAAAGCTAAAGACCTTTCATCGTTTCCGTCTCTGTCACAGAATTGCAGCAAACCGGCGTTGTAATCACTGTAAACAAAACCCTTGTCAGGGAGGACTGCTAAATCCCAAATGCCTCTAGTCTTCTTGTCGGTCAACAATGTTTCCATGGACCCGGACTTTACGTTTACTGAGTACAGTGCCGATCCATTGCCGTTCCGAAAGACTACTGTCTGCTCATCTATCGCCCCTAGAAGAAATGGCTCCTGGATATCTGAAGAAATATTCACCGTCTTGACCATCTCAAAGGAAGCGTTCTTTCCGGTCAAGATTCCAATCTTTTGTTCATCATCCACCCTCTTGAAACGTATCTTCTTTGCCACCGTTGATAGCTTATCCAGATGATCATGATCTAAACATGGTAACTTGTCCATACCCATCTCGTGATACTTGGCGACCTTCTTGTGGAAGGTTTTCCCGTCGCAATCGACCATGATGGATTTTGCGACTGCAGCTGTGCTCTCTAACTCCTCACCGGTGGTCTCTGCCGATGCTTTAGCTTCTGCAGTCATTCGACAAACAATGTCTACGATAACCTTCAACTCTGCAAGAACTCTGTATCGGTCTTTCACTAGTGTTTCATGCTCGTTATCGTATTGTTCATTAATTTCTGCAAGCTCCATTCGACGCTTTTCATTGATCTGTCTTATGAGCTCTTCTGCCTCTGCGTTTACTTTGGCTACTTGTACAGTGTTTCGCTCCTTTTGGTCTTGTGACTTTGTCTGGAATGTGACGGATACCTTTTCCTTGATGTCTATGAAATGACCATCCATCTCCCGCGAACAACTCTCTATCTTGTCCAGAAAGCTCTGCGTCTCATTCTGCTTCGCTGAAATCTCTTCGACATCTTTTTTCACGATTTCTCTCTTCTCAGCGAAGAACTTCTCAATGTCTTGCATCTGATGCCCATGGTGAGTCGTCAAGGCACATGTGTGGCACACTGCTACTTTGCATTTGCAGCAGAGCAGTTCTACTTCTTTGCTCTCGTGTTGTGGACACGGCCATTTTATAGCTCCATGAGACATATCAGCCAGAATGGCGCTGGCCAGATTGCGGGCACATGTTGGACATAAATGGCGTTGTTCAACAACTTTGTACCCTTGTGTTTCGTCATCACCATCATTGCCGCATTCCTCGCACTTGAATCCCAGTGCGTCGAAGAGGCTTGCCATCGTGTATTACGGACTGAATAATCTCCTTTTCTAAAAACGAATCGAAGCGCTGCTTAGATGGCAACTCACAGGTAGATCGAAGACAGATTGGTGTGAAATAAAATCATGCAGAACTCGCCCGAGCCATACTCAATACTATGTTCGATGATCAGCGTGTATAGGGTGTATTACAACGCTCCGAAATATGAATTTTTTGTATGATGGCCTCATCACCCCTCGACGTAATGACTGTATGTCAGTAATCCTATACGTATATTAATCATAATAGCATAGACGGGGCAGTGCATTTTATGTAAAACGCCTCCTTTGTGTGGTTTGTAGATTGAACTTTGGACTTGCTTCCGCTATCCCAAATGATTACGTCCGGCTACCAAACGTTGTACTTTGATAAAACTGATAGTGTAACTGAATTGGAGCCCGGAGAAAATAAACATTAGACAAATGTTTCTACGGGAGCGTTGTTGGACATTAATTATTCTCGCATCAGTTGTTTCGTTCATTTTACTCTATGAAAACTGTATCAATAAGAAAGACACAAATGAAATTAAGCATCATGAATATCTGTGGTTAATAACATCAGTTATAATCTATCCAAACATTAGCTACTGCTAAACTATTTCTGTTTTTAGTGTATATTAAATAAGTATTAAGCAACAATAAGTATCCTTTCAAGGCAGTAATATTTGATATGTTGAGACGTTCTGACATTTTTCTAGAAACCCATGCAGACTCAGAGAGCTAAATTACATTTCTTGTCATAAACATCTAGATAAATGAAATATCTAACTGCTTGACATAAATCAACATATCTTTCGCTATCGACACTATACTTAATATCTAAAAAGTGACTGAGTGTGCTTAAACTATACATGCAGTTTGACCTGGTGCTGACCTACATAGTGGCACAATAGGGACTTTTAGATTCGCACGAAGACAATGGGGATCGCTACGATCGACGTCCTTTTAATGCACTGCCTTGAATGGACGTCACACGTATCAGTCGACGCAAATCTAAAAGTCCCTATTGTCATTTACGTTGACATCCATACAACTTCACTCTTCATTAAACAAAACCTGAATCTTCTATATTCATTTAAATCCTGATTTCCAACCAATTATTACAAATCTACCTTTTATATATGACCATTTTGTATACATTTATCATCATCTTCAAATATGTTATGCACATATAAGAATTGAAGCGTAGGCCTACAATGTACTGTCATGTAATCTACACTTGCTGCACGAAGATCCACATCGAACCTATTAACTTGTATCTCTAGCATACTATGTTTCGTATAAAATATACATCATTTATGTAATAATTAAATTAAACTCTTTGCCTCATTTTTGCACTAAATTGAAATTCCAGGTTTCAGGATGCCCAGGAATTTGGGCAATTCTGTCCTCAAATCAGTCCCATGTTTTCACTATTTGACTGTAGAATGAGTTTGGCACAGGGTATACGTAGATCTATTTCAATATAGACTTTGATCGAGGACCTTGAGTGTTTTGCATGAAATGTCGAGCAATCAATTGCATACATAAACAAAGAATAAGCATGTCAAAGGTGCCCAAATGTGTGTGATATGTATTCAATTCTATTCAATTCAATTTATTTTATTTTCACATTATTTTGATGAAAAAGAAACAATAACAAACATACACAATACAAAGTCAATCTAATACAGTGTTGCCACACTATGTTTACAAAGTCAACTATATGTGTACACTGTGTGGACATTATGTGTTCACATTGTTATCACAGTGTGGAGTTTCAGACCATGTGGTTTACAACATAATATCCACATAAACTGACAGAGTACCACATATTTACCTCATTGGTATATGTATTGAACTATGTGTAACTCTGTGATCCCAGTATTGTCACAGTGTGGGGTTCAGATCATGTGATTTACCACATAGTCCTACATATTTAACACAGATTAACACATGTAAACCACAGTGTGATATGTACTGAACTATGTGTAAACTCTGTGTTCACAGTATTGTCACAGTGTGGGGTTCAGATCGTGTGATTTACCACACAGTCCTACATACAGTGTGAGTCCAAAAAAAAGTGTACACCTAGAAAATTGATAATTATTTAAAAAATCATCTATGAACAGTTAATTATTATATATCTTATAAAGCAGTGTTTTATCCCAAATCATTTGGTATAAATTTTGTGTGGTATGTGTTCACGCCTGGATGAACAGGAGGCATTGTTTGCGAGAGTGCAAAAATCGACTTGCGCCAAAGTGGCTTATGTGAAGTTTAAATAAAAATATTGTGTTTTGGGTATGAGATCGGTTTTTGCAGATCCACATGACATTTCTACCAAAATCATGCCCCACATATGTGGTATGTGCCACAGTGTGTTAGACTATGTGGTAGACTATGTGGTGATTATGTGGTTGGTCCCAGAGCGTGCTACCACATGCGGGCCACATGTGATTTTGGGACGTGTGTTAACGCTGTGGGTTCTATTTGGTGCATACCACAGTTTTATGTGGTAACGCTGTGCCATAACACAATGTGGTATCAACCACATAGTCTACCACATTGTGGTACGTTCCACATAGTACACCACAGCGTTACCACACGTCCTAAAATCACATGTGGTCCACATGTGTCAGCACACTGTGGTACCACACTGTGTTTGGCTTTGTGGTAACACAGTGATTGTTCCATAAGGACAATTCCAACAAATAACAGAAATGAACAGAAATATCAAAATGTGAGGGGACAAACAAAGGCCAAAGGCCTGTCAAAGGCTTGTCTCTAAACTATATGAGTAATTAAATATACATTAAGTGCCACTTGATAAGTGGTACAACAGGAGGAAAGAGGGAAAAAAACAAGGCAAACGTAGCGCTTTACAGACTCAGAGGATGTAGGCCTATGATTTAATAAGATTAGATTTATATATCTTTTAAAAAAAAACTAAATAAGCAAGGCGATTCTTTATTTTGGACCCAAGACTATTCCACAATTTTACAGAAAATATCTTTATACATTTATGATGGAAATGAAAGAATAATATGCGTTGAATCACCAATATGTTATAACCGTTCATTAATTTTAAGGGTAAAAATAAGTACAATTTTCAATTAATTTTCACTGGAGATATAGGGTCATGAACTCTTTGTCAATTCATTTTTTGTTGTTGATATATGCACCCTCTTCTAGCATGATACTTTAATAATTACCCCCACGTACGCCCCCCCCCCCCCCCACCACCACCACCAAGCTCACCCAAATGTATTATTCTATAGAACAGCGCGCCTGCAAGCTATGATACTCAACAAAAGGACTCCTTTAACCTTTCGGTATTCACCTTCCATTCACCTTTATTGATTTTCTTTATTACTTTTATCCTTCTTTCTATCCTCCTTTTGTCTACTATTTTCTCCATTCCCTCTCTCTTTTTCTCATAACATTATAAATTTATATTCATAACTAAGCTCTCTGATACCGCAGTCACACCAGCGGACCAGACCGACACCAGACCTAGCATTAAAGGTGATACAGTTTTGGGAAATTTTGAAAATTGGGTGGATAGTGATTCTTCACAATTTCGATATTTTTGGATACCCCTGTGGATGCGAAATGTACCGCGATTTTTACTGCAGTTTTATTCAGTAAATGCTTGTACCTTCACGATCTTGTATATTGAACATGAAAAACGAATCAAACCATAACAGGACATCGTGATCAAAATTCAAAATGAAATGAAATAGTCATAGTCTCCCTCTGCGTCGTCAAGCGTGTTATCAAGGAAGACTTGGAGAGAAGGAGAGAGGAACAGCGACACAGAGAGTACCATGGTACGGGATTCGAAGGGTCCAAACAAATGGATGGACAAAGACAGGAAGAAAACAAATAGAAAAAGAGAATGGGACATATAGAGAACGTTGTCGTTCTGAGAACCATCAAGATAAATGGCGTGACCGGCTTTGATGTATTGAACAAGAGGAACGTCTTCTGTTGAGTACGGTTCATGGGTTTGTGAAAGACATTGAAATTTGATTGTGTATTACACCAGGATTCGAGTATCTGAGGTTATGGAATCGTAAAAATTGAAACGGAAGTGACTAATCTTGCTTGAAAAAAAAAAATCACAATTAAAAGCACTGCACGCAGAACAGGGAATATAGGACTACACAAACACGTCATCGCACACACTTTTTTTAATTTTTTTTAACAATTTTGTTTTATTTCTCCAGATGTGTAATACAAACCATGACATACAATTGAATAAAATAAACGTGTTCAATATTGATGCTTTGACATAAACATAATTAAACATAAACTTATTTGCAGTATAATATAACTTAGCAACAAAGTAAACGTATAAGTACCTAAACATAATATGTCAATTGTAAATGTTATTTACTTATATATTACAACAACAAAAAACTTAAACAAATCTGGAGGTAATTTTACTGAAACAATCCTGCCCCTTCCCTGCCCCCTCCATCACACAAACATACTCACCCTCTATCACACAAACATACTCACCCACCCACACACATACTCACCCACCCACCAACCCACCCCCCCCCCCCACACACACAGTACTCACTCAGTGGATGTCTGCCAACATTCTCAACTCAAGAAAAATATACTAAATAAGTTATCCAGGCCGCAAAATCGAGTTACGCTTTTAACAGGCTCACGGTGGAGAAGAAAGCAAATCTTAATTAATCTTAAGCTGCTCCCACTTTAAGAAATGTGATCCTAGCTTTCCCATTTTAATTGCTATTTTCTTTTCCTCATCCCTATACTTAAAAATGCGTTTTTTCATCTTTTCTAAAGTTAGTACTCGCCCCCCCCCCCGATCTTGACATAAATATTACATACTTCACCATGAAAATGATGGTATTACACATTTTTATTCTATATGAACTACCTACCAACCCAACAAATATATCTCGCTATTCTAAATCTTTAATTTCATCTAACTCAAAAAGTTGTATTAAAGCCTGCCATATCCTTTGAACGCTCCCACAAGATAAAAATAAATGTTTGTATGTTTCTATTTCCTGCTTACAAAACGAACATAAATTATCACCAACAAAACCAAATCTAATAGATTGAAGATGCTCATTAGTGTATATGGCTCCATGCAATAATTTAAATTGAAATTCACGTTGTTTTCTAATGAGTATAGTGATTCTTGGTCTAACAAATATTTCTTTTAATTCTTTATCTATAAAATCATAATCATTTTGCC